TGACTAAAGAGACTAACATTTGGTCTGTAAAATTTAATTTGGATGTCATTAGTGACCACCATCCATCTCTGTGTTATGACAGCACAGCCTTGACAAAAAGTCAGATTTGTAAAAACTGAATTTCAGTTTGTAATCATCTGTGATATTAAAAATATACATATATATTAAAAAAAATAGTGATCTAGTACCGTAAAAGACAGGTAAGGTTTTGAAGGCATTTCAAAAGTAGGGACAAAACATTAGTATAGGTAATCTTGGTCCTGAGGTAATATTGTCTGCTCGTTCTTGGCATTGTGACTTTAAAATTGCAATGTATTACATTACATATAAATACAGAATACTATACAATATTAAAAGGTATTACACTTTTGAATGAAAAATCAAGAGGTATACAAATGACACTTGCACTAAATCAGTTATGATACACAGTAGGGCTGTATTTAGCTGTTTTTATATATAGGGTGACTTCGACAATCTAGTTATGTCTTATTAAGAGCATTCTCACTCAAAGACACCTCCAGCTTTATGAGCTATGATATATGCTGGTGCTGTTCAAACTGTCAGTGCCTACCTAGTTTTTGTTTGCCAGACAGTTTTTGGTATCCAGCATGAGATTAACACAAAGAAAGCAAACACTCTTATGCTATTTTTTGAAAGGGAAGCCTACACCCATTAACAGTTACCTCCCAATCTATCCACCCTCTGAGAACAAGAAAATTGTTAAGTGGTCTTTCATACCGAAAATCAACCTCCATATTTGAAAGGCGCAAGTCTGTCCACTGTCCACAAATACAAGAAAGAACAAACCACAGAGCTAAATAGTTCCAGCAAGGTCCAGTACCTCGGGTGTTGCTGAGGGGTTTAAGGTAGAGGGCCAGCTCCTCCACACACTGCCTGGCCTCCTCATAATGTTGTGAGTCCTCTGGACTTGTTATCAAAGCAACTGGCTGAGCCTTAGGAACCTGAAGCAGTATGCAAGGGAGGAATTTAGAAAATCAGTAGCAACAGATGAATAGGTTTCAGTACAATTTTGTCCCAACAAAGCTGTAGCAGAGTTAGTGGAACCGCCATCACCATCATTTTCATTTCACTGTGTAATGTAGCAGCTAAAAAGCTCAACAGAGCTGAATGCACAAATTAATTGTAAATACCTCTTTATGTGTTTTGGAAGACAAAGTGAACTATGTATTCTTACTGATAATGTGAAGTTGCATAATGAAATGCATTAAACTAGCCTAGTATCAACAGCAAACATTACTTACTGAAACAAATCATAACTTTGGAAAAATAAATGACATTTCCAGTGAGCTGTCAAGCATATTTAAAAAATAAATAAATAAATAAATAAAATATGATGTGTATGTTGGTGGCTTAAGTAGTCCTTTTTTGCAACATTTTTGTGTATGGTTATTCTTACGGTAAGAAACAATTTGGACTGAGGGCCAATTTAACACGTTACAACTCATTTTGTACAACAATTAAAATAGTCCCTACTTAAAATATATTACATTTAATTTCAAATTATGTGGATTCTCACTAATCACTGGTATTAGAATGTTTTTTTTAAGTAATCAGCTGAAGATTGCCAAAGACCCCCAGACCAGGCATTTTCATTTGTCCACAGAGTTTCACTTAACTATATACTAACAGCATGTATTGAAATATTAATATGCTGAGATGCTCTCGTTAATGTTAGCAAAATCTGTTGCTGCAATCTTCCACAAGCAAAGCTCACAAAGGCTAACATCAGCACATTAAGGCCAATTCTGAGAAAGGTCATAACAAAGCTGAGTGCTACTTAATAATGTTTGCCACCATTATTATCACTCAGTCTGCCCAAATACATGTGTGTGTGTGGAGCACACCACGTGTGGTAGGGATAGTTATATTTTTCCACCAGAGAAGCAAATTTTACATTTTTATATATATGTATATATATATATATATACACACACACACATACATACACACACACACACACACACACAGGGAACATTTAAGGAAGCCCTACCTATTGGCACAAATGTGCAATACAACCAAGATGTGTTTAAGAGACAAGCCATACCAGTCATGATGACTAGAGAAGACACATCTCAGCATTACAAGTGATGCAGTGACGTTATCCATTATTGCAGTCTTAACTTAGAAACCTGGCCAACAAAGCCAGACACCATTAGCTGTGCCTCACCCTGTTGGTATAACACTCCCTCTGAGAAATACGGCTTTAGTGAATGCGCTAGCACTCAGTAAAGCAGCATAATTCAAGTCATTGCTCAATGACTGTAGGGTGACTCAGAAAGAAATCCCAAAAGTATGTACACCATGTAGTAACCCATGTGTGACACAAATACAATCCAAAGTAATTACAGAAAACGTCATCCTTTAAAACCAGGATTGGTGTCTTAAAATGTTTCACTACTGAAAAAACAAACAAACAAACAAAAACAAAACAAAAACACACCCATGAGCTAGTATTCTTAACCACAAGATAGCATCAACAAAATCTCAGCACAGACAGTATAAAGTCAGATCTCTGTACATTTGTTTAGCAATTTATGACAAACACACAAAAACAAACTTCTTACCTGGCCTCCCACCAGCTGCAACAAAGCTGTGTTGACAGGTAACTGCTCGATGTCTGTGCTGATGGCTGTCTGGTCAAAGGGACAGGCCTTTCGGTGCAACTTGTTCAGGCACATCTTGCAGACTGTATGTCCACAGCCTAAGCTGATGGGCCTGCGAACAGTTTCCTCAAATGTCTGTGTGCAGATCGGGCACAGCAGGAACTCTGTCCATTGTGGTGCTTGCACTGGCATGGTTATATGTTGATGGGATGGGTGTGTATAAATGTATGTGAGCTTAAACACAGAGGAAAATATATAATAATTTTATATATATAATGAAAGATTCCACTGGAATCAATTTTTTTTTCTTCCGAACTCAATCGTTCTTAAATGTCCTCACACATTGTGGATTGTGGATCACATCTCGTGATGAATACTGTAAAGCAGAAAGAGAAACGGAATTATAGTTGTTCCCGCATTCACAAACTCTCGTTGTTGTTGTTGTTGTTTTTTTTATAAAACGTGTCATAATGTTATTAGTTTTTCATCAAAACATTGTAGAACTACACTATAAAACATGGCTACACTGTGCATGAGTGCATTTGCAGCTGAGAAATGCATTCTAGGCAGTGTGGTTATAAAGCAGGTTTCCCGTGGAACAACTAACCGCACTGAAAATATGCCTCTTCCTGTCAATTACGTTGTTCAAGCCCAACAAAACAATGTAACGGCAAATCAGAGGTGACACAACACATATTTGTAAAGTTCGAATCAAACAAATGGTTGAGATGGACCAAAACAACTGCGGCGTGGCCTAGTTAAAAAAAAAAAGAGCTGGTTATCGCTATGACTATGGACAAAGGGTATAGGATAGGCTAACCGCACAAGTCCCTCTAACTTGATATAAAGCTAGCGTCTGGGGATAGCGCTCGATAATATTGTACCAACAATGCACTGTTGCCCAGTTTGTTATCCTTGCTGTGACCACCTCGATGTTTCGTTATGCACCCACTAATCTTACGAGTGATACGAGACGCTTTTATAGCTAGCTAACTCTAGGTAACGTTAGCTTAGTTTTAGCATCGGAAGCTATGGGTGGCTAGTTTCCTAGCTTAGCTATGGGCAAACGTCGTTTGATCAGCAAACAGTTACTTAACGACCTGAAACCTATCGGTAACCGACTGTCACACAGTTATTGCTCTGAATATAGTCACAGTTGTTCATACGTTACAGTTTTAAAGATATTAATTATCCTTCGAGGAGGCGCTGTTCAAGGAAACGAGATCTAAGAGACACAACAAGTCAGATTATGTAACGCTAGCGCCCATAACTTCAAAGCAACAAAACTGTCCCAAAATGTCTTTATATTCACCAGACACCGTAACAACAACTCAATACCATAAAATTCTTAAGAACTGACCAGGTTTGTGCTTTACTCTTGTTTTGAGGGGCACATAACTCAACGGCTCTTGTCGTCGGAATGAGCACAGAGGGCTAACATGCTAATGAACAAATGTTACTCTCTCCACTCTCTTAGCGCTTAGCTCCTTAGCTAGCTCGCTAACAATCTCTATGCGTCACTAATGTGCCTAAAATTAACATGCAACTACTACTTTGGGTTTTTCACCGAGCAGATAAATTGTTATTGTCGATGCTACTCACTTATTCCAAAAGACTTGGAAGTTTTTCATCTTTTTTAAGGAAATTGCTGCGATATTTTCTTGCCATGTCGACTGTGCAGCTTAGCTGCTGCCAAGGTAAGGGAGAGGGTGTCAACTCGACAACAGACTGGCTAGCCGGTTACAGCTAGCTGGAAAAGATGTGTGCGTGCACGCGCGTTTTTTTTTTCTTTTTTGCGTGTGCGCGTTTGGATTGTGGGCAAATGGCGCCCTCTGTTGAAATTGAGCCGCACACACAAAATACCGAAACTGGGCAGGTGCTGAGAAGATCACATCTGGGAACATTTTCACAGTTAAACTGCTCAGTTTGCACGGGTGCATATATATTAAATATGTTTGTGTATCTGTATTAGAGAAACAAAGAGAAGGGGAGAGCTCGGACAGATTAAGATGGGCGGAGGGAGCTGTATTGACAAATAAGAATCAGCTGACATTTGTTTTTGCGAGACAAAATTAGACCCGTGCTCCCTAAAACGTAGCAGAGCCTACCCCACTTCCTTGCAATCAGAGCCACCGAAATAAAGAGTGAAAAGTATCTGGGATATCTCATTTGGGCGAGAGGTCACCAAGCCATTTTACTAGAAATGTTTTCTCTTTTTCATTGGTTTATTCTTATTTATTTATTTATTTATTTATTTATTTATTTATTTTTACAGCGGGGAGGGAATCGGTGTGTGTGCACTTGCGCAACACAGAGCTCCACTCGAGCTCCACTGATGAGGCAAGAGCGAAATTAAAGCAGGCATTTTTTTTTTTATTCCATTTTTGTTTAATCCCACTGATTTCTGAGGGGATTATCAGACCAGGCACGATGGAGAGACCGCTGACTCGCCTGACACCGCTCGGAGCTACGTAGAGCGACAGAGAAAGAGGGAGAGTGAAAACATAACCTCAAAATCTGGAGAAACATTTGGAAATCTTGTTATTATCATTGTTATTCCATCCACGGGGACGTCGCTTGTCTCCCCTGTTGGTGACGCGAGGATGCGCGCTGCAATAACTGCACGCTTGGCGCAGCTTTTTATTATGGAGGGCAACTTTAATTTGTGCGGTTGCCCCAGAATTTATGGCAACTTTCTCGTGACCATCGACGCTGGGATTGCATGTCAAAATACGCCGTCTTCAGCAAAAGTGCAGGTACATTAAAAAATGTTTGTTAGCCTTCTAATAGCGAAACCAACCTGTCTCTTAATGTTAATGATAATGAACTTTGTTAATGATAATAATGAGTTAAACTTGCTTTTATGGAGCCGGTTTACATAATTACCAACAGTAGCCTGTAGAAAACTGCTGTTGTGCGTATTTCTTATGGGTAAATAATGAATTTTAAATACTTTAGCTGATTTTTCCTCCAGTTTTTCTATAAATGAATGGCAAACAGGTAAAAACATGGTTGATTATTTCTGATATATACAACCAAACATAAACATATAATACTGCTTATTCCCTGTAGGGTCTCAATTGCAGGCAGCAGTTGCTTATTCTGATTCCAAAGGATTATCCTTTGCCCTGCAAAGTAATCACTGGATAAGGCAACGTGACAGAGTCCACATTACATATCTCCTTACCCGGCACACAGGAAAAAAGTATCTGGTAACAGAGATGCAGAATACGCTGAATAGAAAAGGTTTTTATCTTTCTTGTTCTTTATTTTCAGAATCTCTTTGGAATTTCTTGTGCATGACTAGCCAATGGAGGAAGAGAAAGCCGCTGATAATATCCAATCAAAATCTGGTTCCCCTTTGCCCACTGGGCTTCCCATAAACTGGGGACTCATTACGGGTCCTGTTCCTGAGCCTGTTTTCCCAGCACCCACCACCACTTTGAATGCTTCTCTTCCTCCCCCTGCTCAAAGTTCAGCTGTCCACGCCCTGCAGACCAAGGTGAAGACAATCACGCAGAGAAGAACAAGGGGAAGAGACAGGGAGAAAGACAGAGGAAGATTTGACACGGAGGTGTTGGTGAGCAACCCAGCGGGACACATTTCATCTGAAGTCCACCTTAGACAGAGACCCAAAGGCCAGCTGTTTCTGCCTGCTCCCTCCTGGCGATCAGGTGGTGCAAAGGACTTAAGCAGCAGTGATGAAGAGGAGGAGGTAGAGGTACAAGTCAGGCTGGAGATTCACAGTCCTCCTGCTGAAGCACAAGTTGTACAGCAGGGGGAGGAAGTGGAAGAGGAGCAGTCAGAAAACAATGATGGACAGGTCAGTCATCCAACGGGTCAGCCTTGTGGGCTTGGAGAGGGCACCAGTCTGGAGAGTCTTCAGTCTGACAACCCAAGCACTAGCAAGGATGGCCCATCCCCTTCCCCTCCTCCTCGTCCACCACCACCTGTGCTCTCCTCCAACATCTCTGCTTCCACAGCATCGTCCTTTACTTCCTCCACTTCTTCTCCTTCAGCAAGACACTGGGCCCCTCCAAAGGGCTTCTGGAGAGTAGCACGCCCAGAAACGTTGGTTCTCAATGGGGTTGACCCTCACAATACACCCCCCACATTACCACTAAAGGACTACACTCGGACAGAGGCACTAGCAGAGCCTCAGAGGAAGCCTAAACTGGCTGAAGCAGGCAACAAGAATGATGTGGGAGGTCTGGCGAATGACTATGATGTGTCTTCTGAAATCCAAAACTCTGATAGTGTGGAGTGGTACCTGGACAAGTATGAGCAAAGGGAGACAGATGTGACTGATCCCAATAAAGGACTGTGCAGTTCAGACAGCTCAGAGAGCATGTCTTCACAAAGTGGAATCCTTTGCGCTGATGATAAACTGAGGGTGAAGGAGAGGGCCTATGCAAAGTTAAGGGAAAGACAACAACACTACAGGGAAGTTAGAGAACTGCAAGAAGGAGAAATCACTGGCTATTATGAAGAAACAACGTACAGAGTGGATTATAATGGTAGGTCTATTAAGGAAAATAATAGAGAAAGCGAAAAAGTAATGCATGGAGCTATTTGAGAAGGGCTTTAGTAATGCTTTACTGATAAATAAGCTGTAGAGTGTTTTGAAACTCCTGGCCATGGCATGAAATACATAACTTTACTTTTGCAGTATTATTATGCTATACAATAATAGCATTTTAGTAGCGTGCCTAAAAGGCTGTGACTTAGTCATATTTTTTTCTCTATTACTTTAGCTTCCTCATGAAGTGTAGTCAAATGTTATGAGCTGGATCAGCTCCTGTGGCATGTTAGCATTTTGGATGAGGACAGAAAATGTTAAATTTTGCATTTGATTTTTTTCCCCTAACAACCTTCTAAAGCTGGAAAATTGTCAATAATTTATGCACATTGTCTGCTTAGAATGATTTCCATCTGTTGCAGCCATTTAAAGTGCCCCATTCATCCATAGTCTGCCTACCTACAATGTTGTATTGAAACACAGAATGTAACCTGGCTGGTTCCCAGTGCTGAACAGATGTCAGATGTGCAGATGTGCATACGGGTGTTACTATTAATAGAGCAGTGGGGGAAGTGTCCCTGTCTGTTTTATCCCTGCGCGCTAATGGATGTCTTTGTATGTCTGTAGGATGACAGATGATACTTTTTCCCATGCAATGATCATGTGGTATTGCACAGATCTCAGTTTCAATGCCCAGTACGAGAGATGCAGGTGCAAGTCCGTGATGATGAGATGATTTTGCCCTCTTGTCTCTGGGAAATCTGCTTTTATCCTTCAGCAGTTACATAATCTGTGTATGTGTGTGTGTGTGTGTGTGTGTGCGTCTGTGTTTTGTTTTGTTTTGGGGGGGTTTTTGTCCGAGATTAAAGATGAGTTAGGGATGACCTCCGAGACTGCCACTGAGTGTAATCTGAACCTAATGTTATAAGGTTTATGAAAATCCTTTTGATCATAGCAAGTCCCAATTTCTTTGATACCCAAATGTCCTTGTTGGTCACGTCATGGCTGACTGCTCTCTCTGCAGTTGTGTTTGCCGCAAGGCAAGTCCTAAAAAAATGGAACATTAAACAATAATTTAATGCGCTGTAGCACATTATGTCTGGGTGAAGGAAGAGACAAAGACAAGAAATCCTTCTTTTATCTGTGAGAAATTTTGACTGCACTTTTATATATGCTCATATCTTTTTCCTTTTTTATACCAGTTGCAGGTGCCCATCCTGTTTTGGACTCCTCAGACTCAGCCATTCTGGCCCAGGAACTTGAACCCTATTTAAGGTGAGCAATGTAGTTCCTGGCAAGGGTAGTGACAGATAATCTCTGTGGACTATTTATATCCTCTCCTCATAAATTTCACTTTTACAGCTGCACTTGAGAAAATCTACCCAATGAGGCAACTATGCGTGGTGCACAATCCAAACAAACACTTTGATAATCGGGTTTAATCACAGGGAAGAGATGATGTCGAGTATTGTCAGAAGCAGTGCACTGGCGATACTGAGCGAGTATCAAATATGTGTTATGTTTGATACTCGCTCGTCACTTGTCGACCTGGCACACTGTTATCTTTTTTCACCAGTTGCACTATTTTGTAAGCCATCCTTTTAATGAAGGTTGTTATTTTGAACATGGTTATAAACTGTAGAATAAAGAGCTGCATATGATATTTAAAGACAGGCTCCAACTTTGTTGATTTCTTTTTTCTGGTGTTTGAATACTGCGGTGACACAACAAACTGTAATCTAGTGAAAGACAATATGTTCTCATCTTGTCACACAGGAGAGAATGAATCACACTTAGTCCATTACAAAGATAATCCACGTGGCTGGTGTATCATGCTATCTTTATCACTGGGCCAGGGGATAAAGAGAAGTACAGACGATGAAGCACAATGCAGAGCAGCTTAGCTGCTGGCCACAAAGATGGATGGATGAATGGATAAATGGATGGATGACATTCCCCTTTGCTGCTGACCACTAGAGCCACGCCCCAGTCTTTCTATCTGATATTACATAACACAGCTTAGGAAGACGCAGCTTGCTGGGCTCCATGTTAAGTCAATCTTTGGGGAAATATGATGTCTCTGGATATGTGTCAGCACAGAATAAGCTTTGAAAATTTGAACACTTTATCAAATATTCAGCATTCTCAGACAGATGCAGGCAGATTGTCTCATTAGCGAGTTAAACTCTATCCATTCCCCTGCTGTTTTTGTCACCATAATAATTCCTTTCTGTACTAATTTCCACTCTCTGTCTCTCTTCCCTTCTTGCTCCTCAGGTCACTTCTTGTAATCAGCGATGAACTACCTCTAAGCCCAAGACACGAGCAGGCCAAGCTTCTTCTGGAGCGAGCAAGACTCAAGGCTCGCTCCAATCACATCAAAGGCGATCGCCCCAGACGCTCCCATTCTGATCAAAGATCCACCGTGTAAGTTGACTTAAAAGGCCTGTGTGAGCTTGTGGGATTGAGGTTAGAGACTGTGAAAGTCCCACTTTGAGCGTGTCTGCTTCTTCTTTTTTTCCTGTTTATGCACTTCTTATGTTTGTTTATCACTTTGCTCCCATCCTTACGTCTCCCTCCCAACACTTCTTCTGTGCTTTGTCTATCCTTCTTTTGCACTTGCCCCTTTCCTGCAAAGCTAATGTTGCATAACCGAAAACAAGTCAAAGCTTTAGAACTTGACTTTTGCTTTGTAATTACATAAGCAAAGCTGACAATGTTTTGAAAATGTTTGCTTTTATTCTTTTTATGTAATAGTGTGTACTTTGTGTAGTTTTGTTTCTGAAATCCCTTTAAATCAGCAGGAAGTTTTCCACTTAAATTAGGATTAGGAGAATTTGCAATATACCCTACATTCCTGACTGCTTCACTAACCTGGTCATTGGTGCCTGAGACAGACAAAGTTGTAACACATACCGTATGTCTTATTACAGTTTATGTAAATGTCATTTTAGCACCTTATATTTTGATATTATGTGCCCATTGGTGCACATGTTATTGAGTCTTATGTTTGCTACCATCTGATACCGAGATGACGGATTCAGCTTTCCTACATTTTTCACATTTGACTTTGATAAACTAATAACATAAAAATGGAGAAGTTGACAAAGTATCTGGCACTTTAAACTTGTTGCCAATACCCACACCTCTGTCATTTTTACAGGAGGAAACAGCAAGTTGAATCTCCCAGTCCAACAACAGCACAAAAAGCTGTTCAAACCAAAGAAGAGCTCCCAGCTCAAGTCTCATCTGGTCCCCTCCTTGTCCCCAGTCAGAGAGACACTTCACCCAGCGACCAAGTAGGTCGAACCAGAAGGTACGGTTGCTCACCCACCCGTGTACGCTTTGAGGATGAATCAGAAAAAGAAGCAGAGTCTCGCTATTTGGACAGAGTGAGACAGCGTGGCAGGCCCGGGACGCCCAGGTTCAAGAGTAAAGACAGCAATATAGATTCCAGCAGCAGCGGTTCAGAGAGGAACAGAAACCACAGAAGTGTTTCTATGCCTCCTATACAGAAGCAAGAGGATGAGCCTGCTGTTGGTGAAACTACAACAGTGGTTAAAGAGATAATAGTGCTGGTGAAGAAATGTGAATCATGTGGTTCTGTGGTGAGGGAACCTCAGCCAGTTTCATCGCCACCAGATTCAAAGCACGCTGAGCCTCAGCAGCCTGGTAACCCTGAGGACCCAAGAGGAAAAGTGTCTCCTCGCTGGGTGTCACCAAACAAAGCGGAGGCTAGCACTCGTCCTAAAGCTCCTCTTACTGTCACCTTCGCTGGCGCTTATGTTTTGGGGGAAAATAGAGAAATTAGTACAGGATGGAAGTCATCAGGGTTTGGGAAACTTAGGAGAAGGAGCAGGAAAGGAGAAAGTCGGTTAGAGTCTGGTCATGGCCCTTATGGCCCGTCGTGGGCTCAGCGGCGTAACTCAAATCCACGTAACAGAGTCAACCTGAGCAGAGCTGTTTCATTTGCACCTGGTAGCCCCATTTCTCTGGAGCCACGTTTGCTTGAAGCATCTGGTGGACTAAGGGAGTCACCAACCCCTGCATTGCCTATCAAGTCAGCTCTCAAGTCAAGCTCAAGAAATCGCTCTGCTGCTGGTCAGTCCACGGTTCAGTTCCAGATGACCTCAAATCAGGGAGGAGAGGGTGGAGCTCAATCTCTGCTGGATTCTCCAGACACAAGGAGGGAGTCTCCAGCATCTTTAACCCCAGGGGTGCCTGCTGGTAGCAGCCCAGTGTCCTGCATCAGACCCTCTACTCTGAGGTACTCCCCGGCCAGGCTAGCCACAGACCTGCCAGCCTCTGAACTCTGGGATGCCACTCCAGATGGTGCAGGTGAGTGGCAACAGTAATGTACATAAATGCTATTAGTATGTTATAATAAATTTTTTTAAAAGCAGCATTATACGATTACACATACTATTCGTTTATCATTAATGTTTTAAATGTAGTCATGGTTCTATTGTTGCAACTAAGCAAGAAACTAACTCTGAGTAATTTCTATTCTTAGGGATATTTAACTTTATAATGAAGCCTTAATAAAGTAATGAGAAGGAAATGAAAAAGGCATGAGCTACAAAGTAAATGTTACTCTGACTACTTAATAAATGTTGATGAAAAAGTACAATATGTCTGTCTGAACTGCAGACAAGTGGAAGTATAAAGAAGCCTTTTTGGTTGTGCTTCTGAAGTGAACTGTAGCTACCTATAAACTTTACTTGTGTGCACTAATAGATAAATGTTGTAGTGTGGAAAAGAGCAGTTATAAGTTTACTTTCTGCAAAGATCAGGATAATACTGACATTTAATTATGTACTCTTTTCCTTTTGTAGGCTTAAGTGGGGATTCTGGTTCTGGTTCAGAGTGCCGTGCAATACGTGGCCTGGGTATGTCTCGGGCTGAGGACCTCAGAGCAGAGCTATTGAGGGCTGAACATCTGAAAGCTGAGGCCCTGTGGGAGGAAAACTGTGATGGGTCTAGGTAAGCCAAGATAACAATGTTCTTGCCATAGCTTAGACAATAAATCCCTTGCCCCCACCAACATTGTTGTGCAGCAGTTAGTAGATTAAAACCCTGTTCAGCAGACAGGCTGTTGTTCTTGTTGTTAGAAAGCTTCTTTCAATACCAGGGCAATCCTGCCCTCTTTTGGTAATACAGTATATAGCTGTAGTCATTACGATCTTTTACAGAAGGAAGACAATTATAAAATTGTTTTCACAGCTCTTAAAAATAATCTCAGTCCATAATAACAATTCTCAGTGTGTGTGTAGTTCACACTGTGATGCAACAGTGTCTAGATCAATATATTTAAAGTCTGTGCTAAGGTCTAATTTAAAAAAAAAAAATCACAATTTTCCTTTTACAGAAAGCTGGATGGGCGACCAAAGCTCTTCCTACGTCGCTTCTTTTCCTCCATTGGCCTGAACAGTGTCGGTAGGCTTGTGAAAGGAGGTCGCTCCAGTAGTATGGAACAGCTCAGTATACCCACTGCCCCCCGGGCGAGCTCAGCATCACCAAGCCCAACACGGAGACCGCAGCCCACTATCCGCATACAGAGGACACCCTCCCTGCAGACGCTGAATACGGTGAGCAAGAGGTCTAAATGTTTTGTTTTGTTGGGGACTGCTGCGCTCCTTTATCTCATGTTCTTAACATCATGATTGGCCACAATAAATTTAACCTCATACAGGCAGAAGGTAAAAAGTAATGTCATTTTCCTCACATACCTGTACAAAGTTCATTTCAACAGTGGACCAGCCAAAGTTTCTACTTTGTGCAGGTCTGCTGCCTTCTCTGCAGCTTCAGGAATACACTAGTGGAATTAATCCTTTTTTGTATATGTGTGTGTGTGCTGCCAAGCAGACCATATTTTTATAGGTGTAGTAAAGGCAAAATATTATGGTTCTGGAAGCTGGTTTGGTGAAAAGAAATAAAATCAGTTTATTACAGTGCCATTCATTTGCCACTAGGTGCTGCCACTGGCCCAGCTGCGTAAAGCCTCCTCTGTGCAGAGTTTAGAGAGAAGAACAGAGCGTTCAACCATACTTGGGGAGGTGCAAATACCATACGGCCTGGCACTCAGGTAGGTGTCTGTGGCAAACAAAACCAAGCAGAAGAACTGAGTGATAAAGATGACTTTTATAAATTCTCACACTCTTATTCAAATAATGAATTTCTGCTTCCTCAGCCCTGACAGCCCTCAGCTTGAGCTTCACAGGGCCTTGAGCGTTGAAGATGTACTTCCCTCTAGAATCGCACGTCCGGTGGGCCGGGTCACTCAGGCTTTCCCTGATGGGAGTATTGTCCTGGAGCTCATCAAACCCCCAAACGGTCCTTATGGTTTTGTTATTTCAAGGGGCAAAGGTCGACCAGACACAGGTATGTTTTTACATTTTCAATTTCATTTTTTCTAATAATAAATAGGGTAGAAATTCTATTAACCCAAGGACACATTTACTTCTAACTCATTTCTCTCTATTCATCTTTCTTTTCTTCTCTTTTTTCTCCTTTGTGCAGGTGTATATGTTGAAAAAGTGGGTGATGGCAGCGGAGAAGGCCCGTACGTAGGCCTCCTTGGCATCGGTGATGAAATTCTGCAGGTGAATGGAGAAGCAGTGGCCGGACTCACTTTAGACCAGGTGACGCGCCTCATGACCAGGGAAAGCACTGCTTCCCTTCGAATCATGCCCGCCCGACGCAATCAGCGCTGATTGACAGGACAGGCATGGCACACAGCCACTTCTCCTGGAGACACGCAGAGTAACTGACTGCTACAAACACTGCGGACTGACTGCAACAAATGGTAGACGTGCTGTAGTCAGTGCAGCACACTTGCAAATGCGTAGGTGGAAAAACAGGGTGAGGGCTTCTTTTCTCATAGTGCAAATCAACGTTAAATTATGTGACATCACAAAGGATTGCAATAGAAACAAAAGCACATTACATACAAATCCAACCGTACACAGATTAGGCAAGTTAGAAAAATTTAATGTATTTTACAATTTCAATTTGTAAAATGATTTCTTTTCTTCTTCTTTTTTAGTTGTCGTGAATTTTTCTTGTGATTCATTTCGCTCTTTATGTCACACAGAGCATGAGATCTCAAATGGTTAGTGATTGGAATTGTATTTTGTCACTTATTTGAAATTGTATACAGATATATATTTTTTAAGTACTGTTGCTTATTTATTTATTTATTGGTCAAATAATTGATTATCTGTAGGGGTGTGGCACATGCTTGATCAATAGACCCTTGAACTGGTGTGTAAAGAAAGAAAAAAAATTATCTCATTTTGGGTTTGTTTTTTTTCTTCAGGACATCATATTTCCCTGGGGCTCTGTATGGTCTCTTCCTTTTGCTTGTGTTGTATCAAGTACTCTTTTATGAACCGGGTGCCGTTTTGCTTCTAAATAAAATGATATAGAGATTTATTTTGTCGAAATGTTTATCCTTTAATTTAACAAATTAATTAATCATTCACATTCATTCCACAACTAAATCGCACACTTAGAAATGCTTACTCTGTTATGGCGTATTATATGTTTTATTTAAAGTTTCCAGTCACGTGCATTAATTTACTTTCTCGATTAATGACTGTTTGGCGCATTTTTACGCAGAAGAATGACGTTTCAGCGGAAGATTATGAAAATAAGCACGTGAAAGGGAATTGTTTCAGGCACGGATCACGCACAGGATGTAGGATCACGGTCGTGACTTCTGCTTCAACAGACCTGCTATAGGGTCGTGACTCAGTGTGGAGTTCGATCTTTAAATCATTAATTCACCATGGAAACGCTATCTATCTATCTATCTATCTATCTATCTATCTATCTATCTATCTATCTACAGCTTCAGCAGTCTTCAATCATCCTGCTCATTTGGTTAAATGCGCTTATTTTCTACTTTCGCAAAGTGTTTTGAAATGTGTTAAAAATCCGTTATTAGGATGTACCTGCCACCATTTATGCTCTACTGAATGTACTCTGATAGCACGTCACCGTTGATGCTCTGCTCGTTTATCTGATGTGACCAGAAGCCGATCCGCTTTTATCTCCCCGAGCCACGACTCCCCACGGACCCGGGGGAACCGCCGGCCCCATCCCCAACATTTCCAATGGCACACACACACACACACACACACACACACACACACAAAGCACATTTTATTATGAACGTGTTTATCGATAAAGAAATAGTGTCACATTCAATTAATAGTGTCAAAATGATTAGACCACCTCATTTTTACCAGCCCATTGTATCAGTGGCGCATTCATCCTCGGGGCGCAGAAATGGATATGGATTAATGGGCAGAATAAACTGAACAAAAAAAATAAAATAATATAAAACATACAAAAAGAAAAAAGGTAGAGGGCCCTCTGTTATTATCAGTTATCTTATTGCAGGATAAATGAGCTTAGCGTAAAAACCCTTTGTTGAAAATATAAATAGGTCAAAAGCTTAACCTGAGCTTTTGTTTATTGCGTAAAAAAATAAAAAATTAAAATTAAAACACCTCAACTGTAGCTCAGGCTACACTACACCACCTCACGTTGATACAGGCCGTTGCGCTGTGCCTGTTTGCTTTTTTTTTTTAAATGCTTTGCCCTCCACAAGACTATATAGCCCACGACAGCCAAATAATAATGAATCATTTCATAAATAATGGGTTTAGGGGCTTATCGGGAATGAAGAGGCCGCTGCCGTGCGCTTATCTCACTCGGCCACATTGCGGCCTGTGTTCCGCTCCCCATACTGAGGGAGCGCACTGGATGCGGCGAGGAATAACTCAGCTACACACATACGCATACACACATATACACACGCACACACATACACACACTACTCCACAACTGGTAGAGAGAGAGAAAAAAAGAAAAACCTCAGACATGGATGACCCACTCACAAAATGGCTCCACTTACACAGTAACATCAACAACACGGCTGGAACGGTAAGTCCCCCCAAAAACACATCTCTTCATTTAAACCAGCTCATTTTTCGCTCTGTACGCGGTAATTTGAGCGCGTTCGTCTTGGTTTTATTGCTGTAATGAGCTACATTTTTAGCCTATATTTTCTGCTATTGTCCGATCGGATGGTTGGAGTCTACGGCATGAAATAACGGATGCGAGGCCTGCTGGAGAATTCCCAGAAATTATGTTGCGTTTTCTTTTTTTAATTCTCCGTCTGCCGTTCGTTTAAAAGGAAAAACATTTCCAGGAAATTTATCAAATGAGTTACGTCTCAAACACCTGAAACTGGTCATTGTGGGAAACCCCTGATGTTCGGTGTTAACACCAGCACTAATATGGCCTTACCCTCGATAAAACAAAAAAATATTTTAGACAACCTGCTATGAATTCTTTGCGCGCGAAAACGATCCCGTTCGAGCATCTTTTGGACTATTATTTTTCATTTGCAAGGGGAGAAAGGAAAAGCAGAAAGGTGGATTTTTATTTTTCTTAATTTTTTTTTAACTTCGACGAATAGTGGTCATTATCAACCTTGCTTTTAGTCCTCGCATCCACAGCTTTCCTCCACGATAGTTTTACATTTAACAGTAGCGAAAATGATGCTTCTAATATCCGATCTTATAATTAACGCGGACATCTAACGTCCCTGTAAGATATAGGCGTAACGCCTTAACTGTAGCCCAGTGAAGGCCATGCAAGCGTTTGATAAGAGCTTCATAATAACAATAAAACAAACAGGAGCAGACAAGACTCCTAATAATAAAATAAATACAATAACGGGTTACACCTGCAGCTGTAAATTAAATGGTGACAAAATAATCAACCGTGGAAATTTCAAACAAACAAAAAAAAATCCAGTGAGCCCTGAAAAGAATTCATCGTGTTTCTATTTAGCTTGAAAACACTCTCACCTTGGATAGTCTGAGAAATAATGGTTTGATCCTGGAAAACTGCTAGATGTTTGAATGTGATGGTCATAGAGTGCCGAGTTATTTCTTTGTCATGGAACAATATCACAGGAAAATCTTTGGCCTTTTCTTATTCAGTTTGAAAAATGTCGAATAAAATAATGTGTCACCTGAGGCGGGGGTGGGGGGGTGGGGGGTCATCTAACTGCTAATTCAATTTGCTAATTTAAGCTATATTTAAGAACAGTATTCATATAATTTACAGTTTAAGAACAGTACTTTGAATAAGGATAAGAGCCAGAATAATAGCTCGGTGATGATGTTTCATTGTTAATTTTCTTTAGGCTTGCGTGGACAGCAAATGCGTGGTTATATCTGACATTTTGCCACAAACGATGCTCTGAACTATGGATTAATCGAGGGAAATCTCATTTAGGACGTAGTGGACTCTAGCGAGTGGTGACGGCATAAAAATGATGGAAAAGCGGCAACAGGAGCTTTGTCCCGAAAGTCCCGATGCAGGGTCCGGTCCTAATAAACGGGAGGACTCCGCCATCATCTCCAGACAGAACGGATGCAAGGAGGACGGGGAGCCGAGGAGAGAGGAGGGGGAGGAGGAAGAAGAGGAGGAGGAGGAGGAGGAGGAGGAGAGGGGAGGGAGCTTCAAGGGGGTTGAGGAGACGGATGACGTTCCTCTGCAGAACTCGAACAACGGGACCAGCATCAGCATCATCATCAACGGCGTTGCCAAGGAAACTGCCTCTCACAACGCCCTTGACCTGAAAAGGGAAGTGCCGGTGATCGAGCTCTCCAGGAGGGACGCTATAAAAGCGGTGCAACAGAGGACTGAGAGCCATTTGGTGCCGATCACGGAACTTCGCAGACCTCCACCGCTGCCGCTGCCGCCGCCGCAACGAGACGACGCTCGAATGGTCCAACTGAGCCCAAACGCGTTCCCTGTCCCAGCGCGGGCGATGCTCTACAACCTGGCACAGCCTCTCGCCGCCATCAACAGGTAAAGGCTAAAGGAAGGGGGGGAAATCTAAACAAAAAACATACAGTTTCATGAATGCACATAGAAAGTTTGATGGTTATTAGACACAATTATGCCTTTCTGTAAAAGGATAGGGGACAAGATGCTTATTGTATTACTGGGGTTACGTTATGTTTACATTATTGAGCATGTGCATATGTGACAGATAATGTGTGTGTGTGTGTTTGTGTATGTGTGTGTGTTCTGCTGCAATGAGTGGAGAGCATTAAGATCTTTTAGAAGCAATGAAGGAAACTGTGTTCAGTGGAATTCATGTGACCTAATGTACCTGTGCACCTTTTGTCTCCTTTTTGTTGACATAGTCTCGGAGGAGAGTCGGAGCAGTACAGCATGTACCCCAGCAACAGGGTAAAGCGCCGCCCGGCGCCTTATGAGGTTGAACTCGACGAGGGTAGGCGCATTTTAGATCTTTATAAGTATGGTAAGATGCACTTCTGCTGTGTCCTCCTTCTGCCAGTTTAGTCCCCCCCCCCAAACGTCCCTTCTCCATCACCATTGTCATTCATTCACTGACATGGAGCTATACCGTACCTAATCTGAGTCTCGCAGAAGATGCCTTGCCAAAGGAAAATTCAGAAAGGGCTTCACCCATGAAGAATAAATGCATCATAATTCACGGGGCTAAATAAATGCTAATCTGAATGTCAAATACATGTACCTGCATGCCATTAAAGTAAACCCTTTTCAGGCGGATTTGGGGTTTATTTCATTTGAAACATCCTTTCCACTGCTGCCCACTCACTGCCATGTACAGGGGTGGAGGATGGGGGTGCTCCTGCCTCCATGCCAAGGTTTTACTGCAGAGTGGGCTGAAGGATTAAGATAGACTGGGTGTGTTCCAAGGGCAACAATAGCTTAGAAGACACCATTGTTGAAGGGTGAGAGGATGTGACTACCTGCAGTGAAGCATTTTACTATGACTAACTAAATAAAAAATATTTAGAATGTCAAATAGGGAGCACACAGGCTCCCTGACAACCTTTAAGGAGATTGGCATGCCACACCAACCATTTCACTTGTATCACATATGGCACACATCTGATCCATCAGCTAAAAAAAAAATCTGTGGCCATATACGGAGGACAATTTTAAAAGTTACTGCTTTAGAATTTGTTGAAGTTTGTTATTTTCATCCTGTACTTTCTCTCAAATAAATGTTGTGCATCTCCTGCTGCTTCTTCTCCCACTCTTACTTTTGTGCTTCTGTTGATTTATCGTTTTACAACCATATTTTCTGCTACAGCTCTGCATTTCATTGTTTTTTTTTGCAAATGTGTTGGTGCCTTGTCTCCTTACTCTCCCCTTTTCTTGTCTTTTTCTCCTTCTTTCCATTCTGCTAGCTGGCCAGCCAAAGATTGTACGTCGCATCTTCACAAACAGTCGTGAACGTTGGCGGCAGCAGAATGTAAATGGGGCATTTGCAGAGCTTCGTAAACTCATTCCCACCCACCCTCCCGACAAGAAGCTGAGTAAAAACGAGATACTGCGGCTCGCTATGA